TTCTTCTTCACAAAAACGACAGGAGCACCCCAAGGCGATACACTGGGCCGAACAAAACCCTTATCAAGCAGCTCCTATAACTGCTCTTTTAATTCCTTCAATTATGCTGGGGCCATACGATATGGTAGAATAGAAATGGGTTGGGTGCCCGGTAACAAATTAATGCCAAAGTCAATATCTTTGTCGGGTGGCATACCCGAAAGATCCGCTGGAAATACATCTAGGAAAATCCCTTACTACAGGGACTGACTCCACGGTAGGAGTATTAACACTAACATCTCTTACATAGGCCAGTTACGCATCACACCTATTCTCAACCATTCGTTAAGCCTTAAGAAATGAAATAACCCTATTAGGAATATGATCCAAGGTACCTCTCCACTCTAGACGCGGTAGACCTGGCATAGCCAACATCACTTTCTTGGCGTGACAATTAAGGCTAGCGTGATAGTGCGACAACCAGTCCATGCCCAAAATAACATCAAAATCTACCATACTGAGCAATAATAAATCAGCTCTGGTCTTAAAACCACTGATAATAATCAAACACGACCGATACACGTGGTCAACAATAATAGAATCACCCACGGATGTAGATACATAAACAGAAGAACTCAAAGAATTACGGGATACGCCCAAATACGGGGCAAAATAAGATGACACATAAGAATAAGTGGAGGGATCAAATAAGACTGATGTATCTCTATGACAGACCGGAACAATGCCTGTGATAACAGAATCAGATGCAACTGCCTCCATCCTAATAGGAAGGGCATAATATCTGGCCTGGCCTCCCCCTCTAGGGCGACCTCTACCTGTTCGATCTCCACTCTAGCTGGTTGTGCCAGTGGAGTAGCAACTGGTGCAGTAATCATGGCCTGAGAAGCCTGAGGGCCCTGTGGAATTAGGTGGGGCCTGAGAAATCTGTGGAGGTGCACCCCTCCTAAATTTGGGGCAATCCCTCATGATATGACGAGTGTCACCACACTCAAAATAAGCCCTCGGAGGACGTGACTGCTGGGACTGGCTCGGACCTAATCGACTGGACTGCCCGCTAAAAGCACCCCGTACAGGAGGTACAGTAGACACTGGATGTGCATAATATGGAACCTGAGGTCTGGGAGTAGCCGGAATATCGTTGTAAGCTGGAAGTACTGAATGAATAAGACGACTCACATAGCCACTACCATGATGGGCTACAGCTGGGGCATGAGAACTATTATATGTGCCAGAATCTCGGGGTCTCTTAGTTTCCCTCTCTTCTCTCTCCCGGATCTGCATACCCTCCAATCTCCTAGCAATTGACACCACTTGTTGGTATGCAATATCCATCTCCAGCTCTCGGGCCATACTTAATTTGATACTAGGGTGGAGCCCCTCAATAAATCGGCGAACCCGCTCTCGAACAGTAGCAACTAAGGCTGGTGCATGCCTAGCCAAATCACTGAATCAGACTGCATACTCTGACACGGTCATAGAACCCTGGCGCAGCTGCTCAAACTCTGTGCGCCATGCATTCCTAAGACTTTGAGGAACATACTCCCTCAAGAACATATCTGCAAATTGAGTCCAAGTGAGTGAAGCTGCCTGAGCCGGACTATCCAACTCGTATGCCAGCCACCACTGATAGGCCGCTCCTTTAAGTTGGAATGCCGTGAAAGAAACCCCACTAGAATCCACAATACCCATAGTATTGAGGATACGGTGACATTCCTCAATAAAACCTTGAGTATCCTCTGATACCACACCGCTAAAAGTGGGAGGGTGGTACCTCTTGTACCTCTCGATCCTGAGTTGCTCCTCCTCCGAAACTGATGTCCTAGGCTCGGTCTGAACTGGGACAACTAGATGCACTGGTATAACCTCTGGGGCATGGTCAACTTGGGATCGCGGCTCTGGGGTACGGGCAGCAGGAGTCTGTGCTCCTCCCCCAGCCTGAGATGTGGCAGGAGCTAGTGGAATTAACCCTGCCTGAACTAGAGTGCCAAACATGCTCAGAAACTGGGCAAGAGTCTCCTGAAGTGCAGGAGTAGTAACAGGCATCTCAGGTGCCTACTCTCCAACTGAGACGCCTATGAACGTAGAGCTCTGATACCCACTTGTCACGACCCCAAATTCTATCTGTAAGATGCCGTGATGGCACCTAGTATCTAAGACTAGGTAAGCATATTAATGCGGAATATAACTGAATAAAAACTGAAATTTAATCCTTAACAGTCGAATAAATAAGAACTGCAATTTAACAATTTCAAATTCCAAAACCCGGTAGGAATAAGTAACAAGCTTCTAAGAATTTATCCTCTGTGTCTTGATACATCAGAGTCTAAAGAAAATAAGAAAAATGACATAGTAAGGATAGAAGGGGACTCCGGGGTCTGCGGACGCTGGCAGATGTACCTTGAAGTCTTCGTGTACATTCTAATTCACTGATGCCTGGTCTGATAAAAAGTACCTGGATCTGCACAAAAAGATATACAGAAGTATAGTATGAGTACACCACAGCGGTACCCAGTAAGTGCCAAGCCTAACCTCTTTAGAGTAGTGACGAGGTCAGATCAGGGCCCTACTGGAAATAATAAAAGACAGGGCGAACAGTTTAACAATATAATAATAATAATGACAATGGAGATGAATCAAGTAAGTAGTATGTCACAATTTAACTACACAGAATAAGGGCAAACAATACCTTGCGGAAGGAAAATAGAAATTTACAACTTTAAGAAAATTCACCAAAATAACCAAAGGCAATGCAGCCATAAAGAATTATCAACAAGGACACTCTCGAGATACCGCCTCGTAGTCCCAAATCATAAATAAATTCACAATATCTCATTTTCTTATATCACCGCGGGAGCCTTCACATTAAAATTTAAAGAAAATATTTTTTCTGAAATAGCATCTCGCGTTTTAGCCACCCTTATCACACCGCATGGTTTCTAGTAGTTCCCCTACTAGCCACGCGTGTCAAACCACCATTATCTCACCGCATGCGTTTCAACACCCAGACCTTATACCACCGCATGCGTATCAATATCACAATATATCATAATTTGCACATCAAGTGCCCAAATATATCAACTTGCTAAAATAAATCAACAACAAGAATAATTTCTACAATAAGAAGCTCACGGCTCAATCACAATGAATGCAAAGTCTCACAAAATATTCAGCAAAATAATATCCATTATTTCTACAATACGAAGCTCACGGCTCAATCACAATGAATACAAAAATCTTCACAAAATATTCAGCAAAAATAATATTTCACAATTTAATATCTTGACTTAACATCAAAATTTTTAAATGTAAAATACTTTATTTTTAATAATATTTAAATTAAGAAATCCAACCTTTAAGTAATACACGGAACAAAGAAATAGAGTTTCAACTAAACAGGTAAAACAATTAGCAGGAACAGGTCAGACAAATTTAAAATACAAAAATATATTAATGATGATGAATATAACATAATAAAATAATTTAATTAATATGCAACAGTGCTCTACACAATTTAAAGACATAATCTTTCACATTTAGCCAGTGTATATACTCGTCACCTCGTGTACATGACTTTCAATACCTCAACATTTTTATATCGATACCAATCCTAAGGGAAATTTCCCCCACACAAGGTTAGACAAGTCACTTACCTCAAACCACGCTCAATCAGTCAAGTAGTATGCCTTTTTCTCGATTTTCCGACTTCGATCGGCTCGAATCTAATCATAATTAATTCGATTCAATCAATACAAATTATAGGAATAAATTCCATAAGAAAATATAAATTTTTAACAAAAATTCGAAAATTAACCCAAAATCGCTTGTGGGGCCCACGTCTCGAAATCTGACAAAACTCACAAAATCTGATAACGCATTTAATTACGAGTCTAACAATACTAGTTTCACTCAAATCCGACTCCGAATCGACATCGAAATCTCAAAAATTTGTTTTATGAAATTTCTACAATCTTCCCCAAGTTTTCATCTCAAAACACTGATTAAATGATGAAAATAATGATATATTCGTGTATATTGACCAAATCCGAGTTAGAATCACTTATCCCAATATTTTTCCTTGAAAATCTCTCAAAAATTGCCTCTCTCCAAGCTCCAATTTGTCAAAAATGGAAAATGGGATGAAGCCCCCGTTTTATAACTTAAAGTTTCTATCCATTTCCTGACCTCGATTTCTAGCCTTCGATTTTCTAGCCTCGTTTTTTCCAGCCTCGATTTTCCAGCTTCGATTTTTCTAGCCTCGATTTTTTTCCAGCCTCGATTTTCCAGCAAAACAAATTCCAGCAGTTGCTTAAGTCCAAATTTTGATCTGTTAACCATCCGAAACTCACCCGAGGCCCTTGGGACATCAACCAAATATACCAACAAGTCCTAAACATCATACGAACTTAGTTGAAACCTCAAATCACATAAAACAATGCTAAAACCACGAATCATACCCCAATTCAAGCTTAAGGAACTTAAGAATTTCCAATTTCTATATTCAATGCCGAAATCTATCAAATCAAGTCTGATTGACCTCAAATTTTGCACACAAGTCATAAATAACATAACGGAGCTATAAAAATTTTCAGAACTGGATTCCGACCCCGATATCAAAAAGTCAACTCCCCGGTCAAACTTTCCAAAAATTCAACTTTTGGCTATTTCAAGCCAAATTCCACTACGGACTTTCAAAAAAAAATTCGGACATGTTCCTAAGTCCAGAATCATCATACGGAGCTATTGAAATTATCAAAAGTCTATTCCGGAGTCATTTACATATAAGTCGACATCCGGTCACTATTTCAACCTAAACTTTAAACCTTGGAACTAAGTGTTCCAATTCATTCCTAAAACTTCACCAGACCCAAACTAATTACCCCGGAAAGTCACATAATAACTGTGAAGCATAAATTGAGTAGTAAATGGGAGAATGAGGCTACAACTCTCAAAACGACTGACTGGGTCAACAGGGATGGACTATTCCAATAGAAGGTTGTAAAATGTTTCAGATTGTGAAGAAACTAAAACTACTGAAGAAGAACTTGAGGATTCTCAATACAAACCACTCCAAGACTATTGAGGATGAAGCCAAAGAAGATAGGATGGCACTGCATCAGGTACAATATCTACTACAAGTTAATCCTATGGACTTTGAACTTCAACTCAGAGAAAAGGCACTATATCAAAAGTTCAGGAATTCATCCTACCTAGATGAGATGCACTTGCAACAAAAAATTAAGGCAACATGGATTCAACTTGGTGATGACAACACAAGTTACTTTTACTCAGTGATTAAGCACATGAAACTCAAGCAGGCAGAGACTCAACTGAAGAATGAACAGGGAGAATGGGAGCATAATCCAAACAATATAGCGCAGTTGTTTGTAGAGTATTATGAAGGCTTATTGGGTCACACAACTACTTCCAGAATACATGCATTCATGAGTATGTTGAATAGAGGGCCTATCCTTAGTGTGGAACAATAAATTGACCTACTGAAACCAGTTACTAGCAAGGATGTAAAAGAAGCAATCTTCCAAATTGATTGCAACAAGAGCCCAAGTCCAGATGGATATGGGAGTGGCTTCTTCAAAGCTGCTTGGCCAGTAATTGGGCAGGATATTAGTGAGGTTGTGCTGGACTTCTTCCAAAATGGCAAATTACTCAAACTGATTAACTCGACCATTATTGCATTGATTCCAAAAGTGGATGCACCTGAATATGCTAATTAATTCAGACATATTTCTTATCGTAATGTTATCTACAAGTGTATATCCAAGCTGATATGCAGCAGAATGAAGCATGCAATTACACATATTGTAGCCGATAACCAATCAGCCTTTGTTCAAGGGAGATCTATGATGCATAATGTGCTCATTTGTCATAACATATTGAGACATTAGAATAGGAGGACTACATCTAGATGCCTCATGAAGATAGACCTCAGGAAAGCATATGATATGGTGAACTGAAATTTCTAGAAGAAGTATTCAAGGGATTTGGATTTCCTACCAAATTCATCCAGCTAGTAATGGTGTGTGTCACATCACCAAAGTTCTCAATTAATGTAAATGGTGAAAGTTATGGCTACTTTGAAGGAAAAAAGGGTTTGAGGCAGGGTGACCCTATTTCTCCTCTATTGTTTGTTCTGGTAACGGAGTATCTATCCAGATTGCTCAAGTGTGTGAGCTTATTGCCGGATTTCAGATTGCATTCAATATGCAAACAACTGAAGTTAACTCATTTGATCTTTGTTGATGATCTGATGATTTTCTGTAAAGCTGATCATAGACAAGTTATGCAAAGAGTATTTGTGGGGATCCACAGAAGGCAATAGGAAGATTCATTAGTTGCATGGGATAAGATTTGTCTTCCTAAAAAAGTAGGTGGCTTAAACGTCAAAGGATGCAGAAACTGGAACACTGCTTCAGTGGGCAAATTGCTATGGCAGCTTGTGGAAAATAAACACTCCATTTGGGTGAAATGGGTACATGAAATTTATATGAAAGGGGAAACTAATATATGGCCACATCAAGTGCCTCAAGACATTAGTTGGTATTGGAGAAAACTAAATGGTATGAAGGAGGAGATGCATGCATGGTATCAACATGGGAAATACACTCTTACAGAAGGATGTGACTACTCAATCACCAGTAGTTACATTGTACTACTTGGACCACATAGTAGATTAAATACAACTGAACTGCTATGAAGTGGAATGGTAATGCCAAAGTATAGATTTATATTATGGCTAGCTAACCAACAGAGATTGCTTACAAAAGATCGACTGCTCAAGCTACAAATTCAAGTAGAGGATATGCAATGTTGCCTATGTTATGATCAGATCCCAGAGATATCCCAGCACCTATTTGGAGAGTGTAATTGGACAGCAGCAGTAATAGAACCACTCATGCAATGGGTTGGTATCCATATATAGTTTGGTGAGGTTCAACCAACTTTGGAAAAAATAAAGAGGCAACAATGGACAAGTCTGAAGAAGGAAGTGGTAGTGGCAATCTGGGGGACTGTTGTATATCATACTTGGAAGGCCAAAAATTGGAAGATATTCAAGGGAGTAAATGTACAAAAAAAATGTTGAGATAGCACAGATTAAACAAAAGATTAAAGATAGGATAGGTATGCTTAGGATATCTAGAAAAATGAGAAGAAGTAGAGATTTTCTGCATATTTTACTTTGTACTTAGTTGTAATTAGATGTTATTGTGAGACTAACTCTCCCTGCAAACATTGGCAGTGGAAGTGAGTGCTCTTTAGGTGTTGCTAATTTGTAGCTTATTTGTTATCAATGGTAATTTCACAGATGTTATCAAAAAAATTCAACTAGTTTTATATTGTTGGCATTCTAATTATAACCTCTTAAATAACATACTATCTTAAAAGGTCGTGTAGGTGTGTGAATAATTTGGGCAATGATAATCTGATGTGGTGTATTAGTACGTACTCTCGTATTTTGTTAGTACTGTATTAGGTTTTTATGACTACATATTATTTCTTTCATTTCGGTCATCTTACTATTTTGTTATTATTTATGCTGCTTTTCCACAGCTTATCATTGTTGTCCCTTATTGTTTTTCATGTGGTACTTATGCTTTCCTCATCCGAGGGCCTATTGAAAATAACCCATTTATCTCTACAAGATAGGGGTAAGATATGCATATACACTACCCTCCCTAGACCTCACTATGTGAGATTATACTGGGTATGTTCTTATTGATGATAATCTGATGAGGTGTGTTGAGATGGTTGAAATAACTATATATATATTCTAGGTTCAAACCTAGAAATGAAAAACTTTTAATCCTTGATGATTTTATTTGGTACAAATTTAAATTGATTGCGTTAAAGGATTTCGATAGCGAAAGGTAAAAACTTGTCTTGGGTGTCTACACCAAGCAATTATAACATGGGATGTGTTTGCACATAAAATTGTATCACTTAATCATGATTACTTAATGCGTGTTCTTACTTCAGTAGGCCACTTAACCATGATAAGTTTAATTGATTTTGTGTAAACCGCGAGTGCAAGTAAGTATTTTTAAAAAAAAAATGGGCAACGACTAGTTCATCTATGTGGATGAGACTCGTCTCCATTTCTCACTATCTCCATGTTCCTAACTTACTTGGATCGGAGACACGTACCATAATTTAAAATTGATGCGTGAATATATTATGTAGAAAAAAGAACTTTAATAACGCCGTATTGAATTAGTCACACCTACCTTTTATACTGCCAATTGGGCCACTCATTGATGACCTTTGTTTGGTCCTTTTATATTGACTGTATGCGGTCCCTGCAATTTAAGTATATTACTCTTTTATATTTTTCCTTGTTCCCTGTCTAGGAATTAAGAGATTTAATTTCGTATATTTATATCAATTATGGGGTAAAAGAGGAGTACTATTTAGCATGATAAGATAGATTGCTAGTAGTTGGTGAGTGTTTATAGGTTAGACATCTAAATTGTAATTCTATTAAATCGATCAATTTAAGAAACTACTTCAAAAATGTGACTACAGGCAAGAAAACTTAGTAATATGTATCAAAGTGTATGAAAGAAAGTATTAAAGGTTCAATGTAGTGTTTACAGTTTGATTATGCTCCATTTAGGTGCAACCGATGTATAAGATATTCCGTGTTCACTTGAATTCGAAGAAGGGTGGCGTCCCGAGAGGTGTGATGTAGGCAGGATATCCAAATATAAACATTAGTGGTTACTTCCGCGTCTTGACCCGTAACCTATATAGATCACACGAAAACTTTTTTAGTTCTATTGAAAATTCTCATGGCTTTGTTCTTTTGTAGCCAGAGTTGCATAGCTAACTCGATTGTGACAAAAATTAAGAGATTCACCTAACAAGAACAAAATCATCTAAATCTAATAAGTGTGTTTAAAGGTACGATGAAATTTAATCTATTTTTGTTTTCTCAATAGTTTAAAGGTAACACTAAACTTGTTTTTCTTTTCTTTATTGCCATAAAGTTAATAACTTGAAAAAGAATTTCCTAGCAAATTTTTGCTCGCAGTAAAAGTCTTTCTCATAACTTGCAAATTTATTTTGATGGTGTTTTCAATATATTTTTTGAAGTTCTTGAAGGAAACTTGCTTCTTTGAGGGTGTTTTCAACTAATATTTTATATCAAACAATATTAAATTTAATAATTAAATGTATTTTTATTCTCTTACTTTTTGAACGTAGGAAGTATTATTCACTCCTATGAAATAAAGAGAAAGTATACTCTAAAAAACAAATAATGAAGCGTGGTGTGAATGATTATAAATTTATAATGTATGATATACCAAAAAGGAAAAATTATATTGGATGGAATATGACGTAGAGAAAAAGTGTCCCAAAAGGATGTAACACCTTACCCCACCACGAACTTCTTTTTTTGTGGTTTCTCATCCAGTGTCCGATATTCATATTGGAGTCCGACTATATCCGGATCCGTGTCGGGTATGGCCCCATTTGAGAAATAGCGCTCCCTATCAAAGATTTTTTCATACTCAAAGTTCGAATTCGAGACCTCTGGTTAAGAGAAAAGCAGCCTCATTCAAAGCACCACATCCTTTTGAGGTCACCACCAACATTCACAAACCCCAACTCTACTCCACAGCTCGAACCCTATTGAGGTTAGCTATCCTTGGGTTTGAATTTGATTGGTTTAATTCTTAAAATCTTCCCCCATTTTTTTTGTAGTAAATTTGCATTAGTAACCATTATTATCACAATTTGAAATTTGCCTAACATAAGTAGCTCCTGAGTATCTGCCAAATTTTTATTAACAAACACTAGAGGAATTATTTGTATTTAAAAAAAAAAAAGTTTTTTAAAAATCACTTTAAGAACATATATACTTAGACATTAAAACGTACTTATAATAGGAATTTTTATATTCCTATACACTATTTCAAACTTTATTACCCTCCCTATTCAAGTTTTAATCTAATTACATAATATATATAAAATTACCAATTATGTACATTTTTAGGCATTTNCCTCTATATTTTTTCACTCTTCTTTAAAAATCTCTCTCAATTTTTATAGATTCAAGCTCTAAATACTCTACCACACACCTCCATTAACGCATATCGCTTGCTTAACTTTCAATGAAGAAAAAAATATTTTCGAAGATCAGCCCTAATTCCAGTAAGAGAGCAGCAATTCCACCATTGACAGCCATTAAAAAGTTTTGAAGCTTTGAATTCGAATTTGGATTTTCAGAAACCATTATTTGTTTGGATTGGGTGTTGTTCCAAACAATTAAAAATATTGTTTGGAGTTTATATCTCAATTTTGAGTGTGTTTTGGTGAAGATTAGACTTGATTTTGGCTGAA